TTTAACGACATATAAACTTATATAAATGGACACAAAAGAGACGATTGAAATTTATGAGACACATAATGAGGAAAGAGTGCTTCGAGAATGTGACACTCACAGGGCATATCGAATGCAAGAGGGACAGAGAGAATCAACGATTAACGTATCTAATGCGATGGCAGAATGAGAACTGGAATTGATAATAAGGAGACAAACATTGCTTAGATCTACAAAGAATAGGAATTTGAGAGGAGGTCATTATCGATCACGTCCTGAAAGGACACGGTACACAAGAAAAAAGTAGGAGTTATTTCTGTTAGTCGTCGTCTGTTGCTTTATAGAAAGGGAAGTCACTAGACTTAATGTTTACTAAGCTTAGTTTAGTTATAAAACAACGCCATATTGATTGTCCTGTTTTAACGACATATAAACGTAGTCGGTTATTTAAGGCTGAAAATATTTTGTAAACAATCCCTTGGGTTGTTGCTTCCATCACTCTCTAAATATCTCTGTTCTAGAAGAATAACTAGTGTTGTAATTGTTGGTATAGACTAACCTTCAAGTAGGCTAGGATAGTCCTTACTTTTATCTTCTTGAAAAAGCCCTTTAGCCTAGTCATGTCATAAAATCGTTCCTGTATAGAGGAAAAGTCACTAGAATCAATTAAAATATGTTTTACAGTATATGCCTCCTGACATGCTGTGCATTCAGGAAATCTTCATATTTTTAGGAACAATGACTGAGTAATATAAGAGTGCCTTATTCTGATTCTTGATAGGACGATTTCTTCCTTTCGAGAAAGTCTGAGACCATGATACCATTCTCTTAGAATGGGTTTCATTTTATAAAGTTTGTTGTTTGGATGATAGTTCTACAACTCTTACAACTTGGTTAGAATGTAGGAGTTTATAGTTGCTTTGAAATCTGTATGGGGAGTTTCAAATTTGAAATGTTCGTTTTTAGGAAATTCTTTGCTGTATTGTCAGCTTTTCCATTTCTGCGGATAACGATATGGCTAGGTACCCAACAGAAAACGAGTTTTTTTTCTTCTTTCTTTTAGATGCGATTAATCCCGTTTAATAATTTAACTATTAAGGGATTTGGATATGTTTCTGTTTCTCAGTGATGTAGGAAATCTGAGAAAACTATGAAATTGTCTGGGTCATTGCCAATTAAGATATTTATTTAGATATTAGTTCCTTAGCGCTATAATTTGTGGTATGAACCAACCTCCTTCAAGTATGCTAGGATAGTCAGTCTCTTCTTTGAAAATGTTCTCGATTCTTCTTTTTCTATCTGCCGTGTTCCTTCAGGACCTAGGCGATCACGGCTCTCCACAATTTCCTCTCCTTTGTAGCTCTTAATAATTTGCGTGTTTTTGTTGTTTCTCCTGAACCTTTTTCCGCCATCCATTTACTCAAGGTCATTATTTTTTCCACTCTTCCACTTGCCTTCAATCTGTCCCTGTGAGTATCAGATTTTCCAATCCCTCTTTCCTTATTATGTACCCTCGAAATTTCAACTCTGAAATTAAAACTAAAATAAAAGCTTCAAGAAAGACTTTTCATTTTTAAAAAATCATCGCGTTTTTTGAAGAGGTTCTAATATATATTAATCTACACCCTTGTACAAATTAATTAAAGCAACCGCTTCAGTTACCTTTTTTGACTCATACAGTCAGTTTTAGACTCACTAGAGTGTCAGAGTATAATCGATTTCTATTTTTCCTCAGATTAGATCATTTGCCGTGGTGTGTAGTAATATAAATCTATTTTCTAGGTGTATGATGAAATTTGTTTAGCCTTGAAAAATATTGCGAGATCCGTGATTGCATCAGATTTTCATCACGCCCAGACACTATTGTCTCGACTATCGATTAGTTGTCCTACGGCCATGATCTGCGATGGACGTTACTCCAAAGAAGCGTACGAAATTTGGCACGAACACACTGGCAGGCCTTACCAGTGATCAAATCAAAGTACTATAGACTGGTCCGGAAACTCACCTGATTTAATTCCAATCGAGAATCTGTGGTCAATTTATAATGAACGACTTCGTGGAATGGACAAACGAAGTATTCACATGTGCACTGGGTCATGTTTTATTGGGAAAATACGAAAAAAAGTAAATAATAACCGATATATTCGTTTTGTTTCAATTAATTTGCACGAGGGTGTATATCTGAGCATCAACCTTTCTTTTAGACATGTTTCGTTGAATATAAAAGATTATGAAATTTTAATAATTTTTTTATCTTTTTTTAGTTTTTCTGCCAAGCACTTTCGGTCACTTCTTTAGCTATTTTCAAGGAGGTTTATTCTTAGGTGTTGTTAATTTATCTTTATTTTTGACAAAGATATGATTTTGCATTGTTTTAATAAAAAAATAAAAAATACTTTAGTCTTTCCTCTGAATAATATACATAAACATTTTGAAGTGAAAACTTGTTCTTTATCAAGTCTGGGGCCATCATTATCATGCTATGCTCATTTTTAGAAAGATGTTTGTAGGTACCTAATATATATATATATATGTGTGTGTGTTGACCAATAAAAATATTAAAAAATTAAAAATTTTCAGTCACACTGTGTTGTATATTAATACCTTTTATTTTATTATTTCAGCTAGTTTCGGTCAGTATGGCCATCATCAGGAGAAAAATCCCTGCTTGTTAATGGCAGTGAACTACAAGAGTGAATGACTATCTCTGAAGAAAGTGAACTTTATCTGTAGTTATGATTTGCTTTTTTGTGTTTTGTTTTTTTGTTTGTTTTTTTTTTTAGTGGGGGGTATCGTTAATTTTGGTTAGTCTTTGATTTGGTTAAACGGCATCTTCCAAGTTGTTTTTAAGATAGAGGATAGGCAGATTCCCGAGTCACAGAATTCCCTCTTTGGTCATTTTGACAGTTTTATTTGTTGCTGGGAAGGGGATGTGTGTGTTAAGTGTATATTATCTTTTAGATTTTTTTTCTGAGTGTGTGTGTGTGTGTATGCGTACATATTTATGTGAATGTGTGTATATGTGTGAGACCTAAACACCTCTGCAAGCATGTCTGTCTTGTGTAGCTGAGAAATATATGTAGGGCTTGATTTATGGAATCATATATTGATTCTATCTGTGTTGCTAAATTTGTGGTTAAGTCCGTCTACAGTTGTGGTAGATTTTGAAAGTAGATTTAGTGACTGAACTAGTGAACGAATTGGTATGTCTAATGTGGTTACAACATAGGCTCCTTTTGTTATTACATGGTTGGGAAAATCCTGCTGTTTTTATTCTTGGTCTATTACGGATTACGACCTTTTCATCTGAAATTTGGTTACGCCCTATAATTTCCTTAAGGTTCTTAGGTCTACGATATGCTAGAAGGCCGGGTTCCCCAAACAAAGTTTTTAGGTTTGGTTTGAGATGTAGTATATATATATAACTAATAACTGATACATCAAAATACAGTGATAATGAACACGCAAACACCCCCTTGTCTGGTTGAATTGGATTTCTCTGTATCCTTGGAAACGTGAATTATGATTTTGCTGTGTCTTTAAAAAAAACCCAGTAATTTTAAAAAGTTACTCCAAAATTCACTTGAGGATGAAATGGAACTAACGTCTTTAATTTAATTACAAAATTAAATTCGAAGCTTTTAGCTTCCATTTTTGAAACATGGTTAGAAATGGGTATCGAAAAAACATTTAAAATCAATTAATTTAATATATATATATATATATATATATATATATATATATATATATATAAATGGTAGTACTCTGCTTGGAAAAACCTGGCTATTTCGACTTTAGTAGAAGGAATCGGTACCCAAGGAAAAATGAGGAATAAAAAAGAAAGAACCAAGAACATTAAACTAAGGCGAAAACAATCGTCCAGAGTTCAACCAAAACCGCCATGACCACGTGAGAAAAAAATAAAAGCACTATATTTTTCCTTTTTTCAGTCGGCATCGCCCTGACGATGCGTTTAGGTGAAACTTAGGTAGGTTTGGTCTGGCTCCTTAGGATTATCACATATATATATATATATATATATATATATATATATATATATATATATATATATAGTCATCTAAAGACAGACTGTTTCACTGTATCACAGCTCATCAGTATGGATAGACGTTCAGTTGACTCTAGTTAGGATCGAAACCCGACTGAATTGGCGTCAGTCAGAGGAAATTCTACCTCTAATCCGACAGGGATGTATTTATTTTTTTGTTTTTTATATATATATATATATATATATATATATATATATATATATATATATATATATATATATATATATATATATATATATATATATATATATATATATATATATATATATATATATATATTATATAGGACTATATCAAGGATATATATGAATTGATATCAAACTTATTATTTTGAAATATTTCTTTTAGAAAATTTTGGTAAAAAATATTTTTTTTTATATATATATATATATATATTAAAAAAAATTTTTACCAAAATTTTCTAAAAAGAAATATTTAATGAAAAATAATTTCATTCATTTGTGAATAAGTCCTGAAAATTTCATTAACATCAGGCAATTACTTGATTTTTTACAAGAATTTCCAATTCAATGTGTTTTCAACGGAAAAAAAACGCAAAAAACAATGTTATTTTAAACGTCACCGCGATGACGTAAAACAAAAGAAGACTTTAACCAAAATTTCGAACGTGTTAGAAAATATGAAAAAATTTAAAAAAATAATTAAAAAATACTTTGGTCTTTCATCTTAATAATAACATAAGCATTTGACGATAAAACTTTATTTTCGTTATCGTGACCGACTCAGGCGTGTAACAATTTTTACTTTTTCGGGGACAATTTCAAACTCCATCGCGAAAGCATGGCAAAACATCGGGCACTTTCAGGATTTTGGCTACACTCGATTTTAGAAAGTTTATTTTTCTCAATTTTGGACTAAAAGTCAGGGTGAGTTGGTGTAGTCGACCGTCAGCGCGACCAAAGTCATGAGGGGACGCGTTATTGTGCGACGATGACTACCGCGCACGCATATCGAGCAAGCAAGCGGGCGAGCGAGCGAGCTAGAGTTGGTAGAATACAGTGGCTGCTAGTGTTGACTTTTGAATTGCAGCGGCAACTTTTTCGGACAAAAGACGCAAACGAGTGGGTGCGTGTCGTCACCACCGGATGCGTCCAAGCGACGAGCCAGCAAGGTCGTACGGAAGACGCGCAGTTGTACGTAGGACAGACGAATGCCTCCACTTCGAATCGGAAGTCAGCTGAAATCTTTGATTATCCGATAATCGTCTCCTTCGTGTCGCGTACGTGTACGTCGACAGTTATCGACTGAAAAATAACGTTTGAAGTAATATACAGTGTCACCCGGATATAAGAGAGTTATCGGGACCGGATAAGAAGTCTCTTATATCCGGGTTTCTCTTATATCCGGGTTTGGTCTATTTTGTTTAGGTTAACACAGGCTCTAATTTGGGACCAGAGAAAATCTCTCTTATATCCGGGTCTCTTATATCCGGGTTACACTGTAATTCAAATATAAAGTTTGTAACTTAGCTGACCGACATCCCGATTCCATAGTTTCGTAGACAGGCCCTCCACCAATCACTCCGTCCACTCGTCAGGAGGTATACCGCCCCCCCAAAAAAGAAGTTACCTAAGGTTTAAAATGTATTTGAAAATGACAAATCTTTCTTGAAGATTTTATTTTATTTTTAATTTCAAGCAAATAGATTAAATTTAATATTTCTAATAAGCAAAACATTTGTCGTATTTCAAACCGAATTTAAATTGATTGGAATATTTTTCTTTTATTATCATTAAATTACTGAAACCGTCCATATTGACAAATCTGTCAACACAGCATAATTCTCTTTATTAAAAAGATCTTTCAAAAATAAAGTATACTTTTGTGAAACTTTATTTCAAGAAGATTAACTGATTTAAAGTTTAATTAATTGGAATTTAAAAAAAAAGATTACTTACTTTTAGTTTAAAATATCGCAGAAAATATTTCTTAACGAGGAGGTTGATGTTTTTTTATAAAGTATTGACACATCTATCAATAACCTGATGTTTGCGAGATTTATGTAGGGGAAAATAATTATAGTAAAATTAGATAACGAATACAACGTAAATTCCTTTTTCAGATTTTTTTTTTTTTTTTACCTGCGTAGCAATCTTAATTTTTTTTTAAATGTTTTAAGCATTTTAGTATTTTATTGAATCATGGATACTTTGTCTTTATATTCTTACTTACGAAGACATTTGTTTGTGAAAGGTTAGAAAATGACCAATAAATTGTAAATTTACTATAGTTACCCCACTCTTATTTTCTGATAATGTTGTGTATGGACGTCGGTGTTTACAAAGATCGACACGTTTTTACAAATACAAAAAGAAAAAAATGAAAAATTCTTTTTAAAATACCAGGGTTCGCTGAATTGTAGTAAGCTTTTGCATAAGGATTATTAAATATGGTGTTTATTTGATGAGAATATCACTTGCCCGCTACAAATTAATACAGATTTTTAAAAGATTTAAAAGTTTATCAATTATTCTAATTTTTAAAAAATGAAAATAACTCTTCTAAAAATACATAATTCATCGAAAAATGTTTTTCTTAAGACAATAGTATACATAATATATTTTATTTATAAAATCAATTAAAAGCATTTCTAATTAAATCATGCCTTAGTTTTATTGTATTTTTTATTTTATGGTTCAGAGCAGATTTTCTCCAACTGGGGTTCCAGTTTGAAAAAAAAGATTTGTTGATTTAAATGTTCCTAGGACTTGTTCTTATAACTAATATAAACATTAAACTCTGCAAAAAAATAATTTCTCGAAATTCCATAAAATTAAATCAGTGTGGGTTAACAAAAGTAAAAAAAAAATTCTAAAAGAGAAGTTTCAAAAGTAATTTTGCACATTATTCGTTTTGTTTCAATTAATTTGCACAAGGATGTATCTATCTCATTCTATTCATATCTATCTATCTATCTATCTGTCTCCGGCCTGGGTATGAGGATAAACTACATCCGCGTCCTGGGTAAGACGATAAACTACGTCCAACAGCAAGGCCTCTGATCAGGAGGTTTTGAGGAGCGTAGAACCGCCTCATAATTGCCGATGTTCCCAGGTCCACCCTGACCCGGGGTGGTAGCACCTGTTAGGGTCCCAGATATAGGCAAATAGTTAAACCCAAACTTGTGTAAAAATAGGTCTTAATACCAGAAATACTTTGTAATAACAATAAAAAAAATTATTATTATTTCTGAAGGAAAAATTATTATCATCAATACTTTAAAAAATACCAGTAATACAAACAGCTGTACATTCTTTTGAAGAAAATATGACCAGTGATAGATTTTTTCAAGGAAAAATATTCCCAGAAACAGATTTTTGAAGAAAAACATATTACCAGCAATAAAAAATTTTGTCGGCATTAAATAACCTTTTGAGGTTGATATGCCGTAAAACAAACCAAACCAATCTATCTATCTATCTATCTATCT